ATAACCAAACATGTTGCGGCTATTGAATTAGCATCAGCGCCACTATGGTGAGTAAGTTTGCAACAGGTCAGCGCTGGAGTGGCCACCCAGCATGGGACCCCCCCGAATACCAGGGGCTATTTAAATCTACACAATTAAATTGTTTAAATGTAAACAAAGTCATTCACAGTGGTTTGATGTGAAATGGTTCATTGTAGAAAAATTACAATTGTTTACAGTGCTGGTGATGGAAACCAGGAGTCACAATGTCTACAGCGCAAATATAGCCATTTTATTTAGCATCCAAAACCACCAGTGAGTCAACATGTGTCTTCTGAGTTTTAATATGTAATGTTAATGATGGTAAAATAGTGGTAAACCTGGACAGTTTTCTTTGGATACTATTTTGTAACACTCTGCTATTAATAGATTTAGAAAAACATGCTTTAGATCAAAATCTTATCTTGTCTATCTAAACTATTGTAAACCAGTAACAGAGACTTTAGGCAGTGCATTCACGTAATAGCTTTCTGTGAGGGAGTTTTTAGAAGGATGAAACTGTTCAGATGTCTGGTTCCTATCATCACCACTGTGAACAATTCTGACTTGATAAGTTTCTCTAAAATGCAGCATTTCACATCAAACCACTCTGAATGACTTTGTTTACACTGTAACAATTTTATTATATAGAAATTTAAAGAAAATTGTGAAATTCTCCTTTAACACGCTAACACTGTGCGGCTCAGTGTAGTATATTGTGATGTTACATTAGGAATTCAGACTGGGTGAATACATGTTGTAAACACAGAAAAGAAGATGGTAAATACATTACCATCCGAATTCCGATTTTATTTAAGGGAATAACACCCAAGTTCAATTTTGCCTCGCTTAGGGGGGTCCCTTTACTCTTATGGGAGGTCTGGGACCCTGCCAGCCCCTTGCAATTCAAACCATGGTTCAGTTGTACCTGCTTCACCTCAGGAAGGGCTTGTTAATAAGCTGAAGCAGGAAAAATGGCAAAATACTAGGACTAGGGTCAAGAACCACTGAACTTGGGAGTGTTTAGGACTACTATGCACTAGGCAAAAAAGAAAAGAAAGAAAGAGAGAAACGTAGGCCTGCACGGCCCCTTTTCACATGAATCAAATAATAAACATAAAGATTTGGTACCTTGTTTACTTGTTTGTTGCTTTAATAGGCATAGTCATGTGACATCTTCATTTAATTCCAAATGTGTATGATTTAAATCTTTGTATCTTTGATATATATTAAATTGGGCATGAATTAGAAATGAGATTACAGAACAGAATTACCTCCTTTAGTGTTTATTAAGAATGATGTTGCAGTGTACATGTGGCAAACATTCCAAACAAATTGCAGCAACCTGCTACTGGCTGGCCCTGTATACAACGAGCTCAGGAGGGCTCATGGTGGGTGATCACCTCTGCTTATGTTGTTTATTTTGCTTAAATATTGTTGTTCTTTAGTTGAAGTTGTGTATATGCGTTAATGTGTCACTCTGTGTCGGGAAGTGGGGTTATTGTGTGGGTGTTTTGTGTGGGGGGGGTCACTGTTGGGAGAAGTGTATAGCTAGAGGTGACCTTCCCCTGTGAGTGAGGTGTTCTGTATGTACCTTTCTTCTGGTGTGTTGAATAAAGAGAGCTTTTCACAGCAGATCATGGCCACCTCTGTGTCTTATTCTCTGCTGATAATATTGGGTATATTGGGTCTGTGATCAACATAATTCCATGACATAATTATGCAAAATAATGCATATACTATAAAGTGATGTTCTATGCTACAGAAGTTGATTCTCCAGCTCTGTGCTCTTTTTCCTTATGTATATGACTTGTGGCAGAAGACTGTCCGCATGCTGCCCTCTAGTGGGTGCCAGTTACTTGACATCTGATTCAGGAGCTTGGTATCAAAAATTATTAAACAAGTTATCTTGGAAGCCTAGGCTTGGAACTAATCCTCACTGTCCCTGTAATCTAATCCTTAATCCAAATATTCATAAACATGTCCTACGAGCTGCACGGTGAGATGCACTTAGCAGAAAGCATGAAGTAATCTGTGTGCAATGAGGAACCAGCATGTCTGCCAGTACTGAAAATCTATTTTAGGCATGTAGAGACCTTAATTTAGGTCTTCTATCACTAGCAAACATACTTAATTCTCACAGCATTAAAATTTCACACTAGAGTGGCTACAAATGAGTCTAAGGTCACCATACACAATGCCTAGCAGCGGTTAGAGGGGTATAAAGTCCCCCAGCGTTGGGCTGTGGACCAGTGTAACTGAGTGATGGAGCACCACTAATCATCCAGCATCAGCACCTGACCTCTCTAATGCTCAAAGCAATGTTCCAACATCAAGTGTTAAAGCCTGCAGCAAAGCATTGTGGTGGGGCTCTGGGTGTGGACTTTTGGATATATAATGTATCTTTCTAGCTTTGTTAAAACTCAAATGATTAGCTTGAACAAATTGCAAAGAGTCAAATACATATACCTAAAAATATCTTAGATTAACTAAAGGCATAATGTGTGGTTCTAGGTATATTATGGACTGTTGTGCTGGCATTAAATATAGGAGCATTGCCTATTTTCAACCCCACAGCCTGGGCACCAGCTTAAAAATAGGCTTAATTTACTGCAAGTTAAATTTAGAGTAGAGCCACTCAGCCCCCCTGCAGTGTCTCTGGTCTCCACAAGGTGTCAGAATACCACCATACAAATGAACCAAACAATTTTCATATAAAAACGAATGTGGGGTGCAGTACCTCAGTGGGAAGACAGGAGGAGTGAAGACTTTACAGCGGCTGAGGGCTCCGCTAGTACGGCCTTAAAAATGAGAAGTTTCTGGAAGGCGAAAGATCTAGATTAGTGACTCATGACTCATAGCAGAGGCCTCCCTTTTGTCTTATAAGGGAACAACATGCGGCCGGCAAAAAACTTGCTTCAGAAAATGAGTCCCTGCTCATCAAACTGAGAAATACTAGAAGTATAATTGAACCTCATCCATATAGCACTTACACACTTACACTAGTCATTTATGTATGTATGTGTAAGGTTTGTGAGTACCTATTTATTGAACACTTCTTCTGAAATTTCTTCTGAAATCAAGAGTATCAAAGGGGAATTCCAGACTTTGAGATGAAAACAAGTCCATTCAGAGTGGTTTGATGTGAAATGGTTCATGCTGTGGAGAAACTTACCAATTCAATTGATGGGAACCAGAGGTCACAATGTCTAAAACACAAATACAGCCACTTTATTTACTATCCAGAACCAGCAGTCAACCTACACATGTCTTCTGAGTTTTTATATGTCACGTCAATAATGGTGAAATAGTGGTATATCTGAAAATTTTTTTCTTTTGGGGTTTTTTGCCTTACAGTGGCATGCATGTACCTCGCTATCATGAGTTGCTTTTGAAAAAAAATAGCTTTTAGACCAAAGTCATATCTCAAAACTATCAGACAAACAACATCTCAGGTATTAGTCAGCATATTTATAACCATTTCATGTACTTTTTCAAATTTTCTGTATAATTAAATGCTCCGTTATAGATAAACTCACAGGCAGTAATAGGTGAACCAGATATCTGAAGAATTCAGTCTTTCAGTGTTGATTCCAGGTTTACAGTGTTAAACTGGCCCTTACAATGTTAAATTCAGGGCTACAACGTTGAATCCAGACTGAAAGTGATAAATTGGCCCTTACAATGTTGAATAACTTTCCATGAGACATTAAACTCTTCAGATATCTGGTTCACATCACCTATCATCTGTAACTCCAACTCATCCCAAATGTAATGGATGGAGCTCCATCACTCCAGAAAATGTAATTCCACTGCTCCACAGCCATAACCAATCTTTAGTACTGGCATGGTGACCTTAGGATCACATGCGGCTGCTCCCGAGCATCCCATTGTATTTTCACTGTATTCTTTTATTTATTCCATGCAGAAAAGCTGGTGGTGCACCATGAGAGGGCAATGCTGGGAAGGCCAGGCAGGTGGGTGGACGATGCTAGGAAATTCAGGGGAGTGGGTGGATGATCACTAGGCCATATGAGCAGAATCCACCTGTGCAGTCCAAATCTTTCTATCAGAAAACCGTGCAGACTAATTTTGGCACTAGTTTCCTCACAAACTCACTTTCTCACTGAATTTCAACAGTATAGCCTGATAAAAATGCTGATGTATGTTATTAATGTTCCCTCGCTCTTGCTGATTGCCCCCCCCCCCCATGTTCTTTCTTTATACTAATTCAAATATGATGAAATCAAACATGCTTTGTGTGTTCAGACTGTCATAAAATGTTATTTTCCCACCAACACTTTAACCACACCAGCTAATCAAAATAGCTAATCTGAGGCCTGTGTGGGCCACATTCAGATGACTGCACCTTCTCCTTAGGAGACTGACTCACTCTATGGGTCATTAATCTGGTGTAATTATTTTTGCCCCAGACTAGTTTCATCTCAGATTAATGGGATCACATAAAACAGTGCAAATGAGCACCAGTGAGCTACCAGATTTGGACAGCAGGTGTGATGAAGGAGGCCTGAAAGCAAACGTGGCCACAGCACAATTCTCAGGAACATCCGTTCATTATGACTGTGGTCAATTAGGGGAATTACACTATAGATCATGCGATACCGATGCCCTGTAGGCCTGAGCATCAGCAGAAAAAAGAAAAGAAAAGTGAATAATCACTGTGGAAGGTGAATATTCGTGGTTTCTGTATCTGTTTATTTCATTTCCATGCGTCTGTCAGCGTCTTCTGACTCTGATCCGTGACCCTTCATGCTTTTCTGGTCCACCTCATCAGTGCTTTCAAAAGGCAGCAACACTGTGAGACGCATGACACGAGGCTCCACATGCATGAAGCATTTCTGATCAGGAGGTGACGCAGGCGAGGCAGTTATGACCAACAGCCGAGCCGGCCAATTAGATGACGCGCAGCTTTGACTCCAGCCAATCAGGCTTTAGAGGGGGCGTGACCACGAGCGGTTTTTTTTCACCGAATAGCCACGGCGTCGTGTTACAGTTGGAGGAGGCGCGCAGCGGAGTGAGGTGGCCGTAATAGACGAGTTCTTGTTTTATTTTGGTTGTTAAAAAAAGGAAACAGCACAGTTAAGACGAAATTTCACTCACTGAAGCTCGACAGGATTGAAATGTTACAGTTTAGGTTTTCAACTGTCCTGGAAAAGTTGTTTCACACGAGCCGCAAGCGTCCGTTAACCGACATTGTGAGACATAAAGGCTCCGTGCCCAAGCCGCTCTGCTTCAGCAGCTCCTGCCCTCATGTCCACCTCACCTCTGAGATAAAGACCCTCCGCTACGGCGGACACCGGGCTCTCTCCCACACGTCGCCGCCGTGGAGAAGACCCCTGTGTACAAAGACTGAAGGAGCGATAGAGCCGAGCGAACCGGTGAAGAAGGATGAAACCGTACAGGAAGCTGCGGCAGACAAGTAAGAAATCCACAGAAAGCCTGTTACAGCCTGGAGGTCCTAACGGACTCAGCGTTAGGAGGGCTTTCAGTCAGATCAAGAGCTCTGACGGTGTTGGGTTAGCAGTGTTAGTAATACTTACAGTGTTGAAATCAGTCTTACAGTGTTATATTTGCCCTGACAGTGTTTCATTCAGACTTACAGTGTTTCATTCAGACTTACAGTGTTTAATTCAGACTTACAGTGTTTAATGTAGGCTTACATTGTTAAAATGGCCAAACAGTGTTGAATTGGCCCTATAGTGTTGAATTCAGGGCTACAGTGTTGAATTCAGGCTTGCAGTGTTAAATTGGCCCTTACAATGTTGACTTCAGTCTTAGTGTTGAATTCAGGCCTGCAGTGTTAAATTGGCCCTTACAATGTTGAATTGAGGGCTTGAGTTTTGACTTCCACTGTTTAATTTAGGCTTACAGTGTTAAATTGGCCCTTACAAAGTTGAATTCAGGGCTAGAGTGTTGAATTCAATCTTACAATGTTAAATTGGCCTATATAATGTTGAATTCAGGGCTTGAGTTTTGACTTCCACTGTTTAATTTAGGCTTACAGTGTTAAATTGGTCCTTACAGTGTTGACTTCAGTCTTACAGTGTTGAATTCAGACTTACAGTGTTAAATTGGCCTGTACCATGTTAAATTCAGGCCTACAGTCTTAAATTGGCGCTTACAGTGTTAAATTGGTCCTGTACAGGGTTGAAATCAAGCTTGACCCTGGCTTGACCTTACAGTGTTGAATTAGGTGTTACTATGTTATTTTGACCCTTATGGTGCTGAAATGATCTTTACAGTGAAATTTGGGGTTTTCAGTTTTGTACTAAGTTTTGTAATAAAACACCTACAGTTTGGAATGAAACACCTATTTGCTCTTACTGTGTTCATTTCAGTCTAGTTGTGGTTGTTCATCCAACACTGGGGTTTGTACTCTGATAGACGAAGCTCCAACATATATTTGCATGACTTCAGCTAACAGCATGGACACTGGCTGCTCACCACACAGAACGGGTCAAAAAAGCAAACAGTTAATCATCTAAAACCAGTTTATACAAATATATTGATTTTATATACATTTATATACATTATTGATCTGGTGGAAGTTTTTTTGTAGATTGATTGATTGATTGATTGATTGATTGGACATCAATCAATGCACATGAATTGTTGTATTTTAGGCTACGTCAAACATGGCAGCTGTGCACTGGACCTCTCCTGATTGTAGATTGATCCAGTATTATTCTCTCCTTCGACAAAAGTCCTGGTCAAGTAACGTTTAACACTGCACACAGAAGCAGTGTAGAAGTCGGATGCAGGGGCTTTAGTCTTTGGCACTGTTGATGGTTGGTTTGGTGTGCAGTCTGGCACGCTCATTGCTGATACCACTCATGCTCTCCTTTCTCTGTGGGCTGTGAGTCATCAGTTGGCTATGAACATGGAGAACTCTGCAGATGATGCAGGAGCTCAGTGCTCCAGAACAGCTTGGGTTTAATTAAGAATATAGTAGAGGCTACTGTTATTTTCTTGGCTTTCAGTTATTAAAACAAAGGTTTTTAGATCAGCATATGCAACATCTGAGAAAGTTTGCTTGGAAGTAACCAACAACACACCTAAGCCAATCATTCAGTTCTCTGTACATGTGCAGTGCAGCATATTACGTTGTGGAGTTTTCTCCTGTATGTGAAGGGGTGTAGTTTTGGGAGTGAAAGACGGCGAAGCTTCACTAGTTCTGTTTGTGTTAAGTGGAGAGAACTAGCACGTTGCTGTTAGGCTTATATACTGGCAAAAAGCGACAGTTAGTTACTAACTAAAGAAGTAGTTACTGAAGAGTTATAGGCTACTATTAGCCTTAGTCTGGTGTTAAGGTTTGAGCAGCTAAATTCTAACAGCTACTTTTTAAATTGAGCGTAAAAAATGACAAAAATGGAGGATACAAGGTTTTTTGCATGACAGTGATGAAATGCTTCCAAGAAAATTCTTGAATAACTTGCCAAACTGAACACAAGCCATTGTTTTTGTTGATCTGTAGGGGCAGGTGATTAATAAAATGCAGCAACAACATAAACAGACCCACGAGAAACAAAAGTGGTAAACACATGAAAATGTCTCATTTACTGGCTTCTAAATACTCAGAAAACTCTTGAATAACTTCCTATGAACTATACAAAAGCTTTTTTTTCAATCCAGCAACTATATCTCGCTTCAGATGGTTTTTACTGAAGAGAATCTGATAGTTTTGTTCATATTACAGTATCAGACAGTCAGTATCTGTGGTGCAGCCTGTCTGAGGCTGAGACTGGTCTACTACAACACAAGCAGCAGAACTATGTTGGTCCAGTGGTAGAGCACTATTTTGCAATGGTGCAAGACAGGTGCTGGGTGCTATGCAGTTACAGGGATGTTGTAACAGAGGTTAAGTTCACAGCATTTCACATCTAGCCTGGCACGAATTATGCAAACACTGTCTTGCAAACAGAACACTGTCACATGTCACATATCACAACACTAGATTCTTTGATGTTTAGTGGCATAAGTAGGTGGATTCATTATATTATTCAGCATGGCGTTTGCCAAGCTGGTTAAAATGGCAATTCTGACACATGGCATCAATTTCCAGTAAACCTCCCAAGCCAAAAAGTGTCTAATTCTGCCATCTACACTTCTCCTTTAGGTTTTCAAATGCTGGTAAAGACAGAATTGGTGGATTATTGTTTTGCTTGTGTCTCAAAGTAGTACACATGAATAGAAATATTATATTAATATTATAATAACTCCATAGTAACTCTAGCACAGGAAGCCCCAATTCCACATAATTGTCCATTTTACCTTGGATAGTGTGGACGTGCACTCTTGGGGCAGATTTCAATTCGAGTCAAGGTCAAAGACTCAGTGGCTATGTTTACATGCAAAGATTTTTGCCAATCCGATTGAATACAATCCGATTACAGATTCAGACTGAGGTGTTTATATGCACACTCTATTCAACGATTTGATGGAAAATCTTCGTTTACATGCTCACTACAAGTAATCCGATGCAAAATGACGCGCATGCGTGAAGTAGCGTTTAGAGTAAACGTTACCATGACAGCGAACATCACGTGAGGTCCAGTCCGCGTGAAATGAGTTTCCAGTTGGCGGGCTTGTGTTTTAATTGCTTTAAAATGATGTCAGACTCAGGAAAACGTGCTTCACATGTGCTTATAAAGGAAGCGGCGGGAGGAAGACGTCGTGTTTTGAGACACATAAGCTGGAAGTCCGTCCCACCGGCGTCTTTTAAAGCTCAGAGCATAAACTTCGTCTCCTCTGCAGACCCGTTTCTGCTCCGCCATGCTGAACGGTATAAACTTTCACCATGACGCGACGCACATGCGCAGAACATACTTACACGTTCCGATTGGAATGTAATCGGATTCAGGCGTTTACATGGCTATTATTCTTCTATTTAACGGATTATTTAGAAGTTTACCCACCTCGTTCAATCGGATAGAAATTGTATTCCGAATGGCCTCAATCGGACTAGTCTATTCCGATTGAGGTGTTTACATGGACGTGTTCTATTCCGATTGAGCTATTAGTCGGATTATTAACGGATTATCAGGCTGCATGTAAACGTGGCTAGTGTATCATAGGCAAAACGTTAGGTATGTTAGGGTTAGGAATGGGTATAGAGAACCGGTACTAAATTGGTACCTAAATATCAGTAAGCTCCTGGACAAACTGTGCTGCAGTCTGTATTTATGTAACGTTAATTCATTCTACATAGCAGGCATTTTCAAATGATTGGTGCTAGATTGGATAAGCAGGAGTGGTGCTCTGTTTCGTGTGATAAAAGCATTCGCATTCCTCTAACTGCCATTCGCATTCCTCTAACTGCCTTAACCAAGCTGAAGTCAGCTTCCTATCTGCCAGCTTCTTATTCAAATTCTTCCATTCCAGCTTAAATAGTGCAGCAGTTATTATTAAAACGCCTGATGTTCCATCCTGTAACTGCTGCACCTTTTAAGGTGGAATAGAAGAATTCGAACAAGAAGCTGGCGGATAGGAAGCTGACTTCAGCTAAAATGTAAAGATTTGAACAAGCAGCTGTTGAATAGGAGGCTAAATTCAGCCTTGTGTTAAAACCACAGGTAGAACAGTTTAGAAAATGTTTCAAGCATTAAAAGAATAATTAGGATATTTGAGAGCCTAAATCAGCCTATCAGGGGAAAGTACTAATATTAAGCTGAGTCTGTACTGAATTAAAAAGTCAATAGCTGGCATAGCATAAATCGCTAACTGCTAGGATGCCTACGTGTGAGCTGTCCTGACAACCAGGGTTAACTAATTTTGAATTGCTTATGGCTGTAATTATTCTCAACTATAGGGAGATGACCAGAGCCTTTTTACATCATTTCATGTTATGGCTTTGTTTTTTGCATCAAATTATGGAGAGTAGTATCAGTAAAAGTATCAATAAGAGTCAGTATCGATAAGCAGTATCGGTATCTGTATAATCCTAATGATACCCGACCCCAGATAGGGTTACAGAAAGCATTGATATGGCTGCGTGAGCATGTAGGCATGTTATGCCCAACTAAGTAACAAAGGGATTAGTGTCAGTGGAGGAAACCTAATCAGTTTCCTGATATTATTGGTATGCACAGAGGCATGCTGGGATCAGAGACATGACAGATGCGGCTGTGGAGCCCTGCTCCTGCACAGCTATTGCCATAACAACCAGAGTGACGTTGCACAGTTTGTGGCTAGCATTCATTAGGTTGAGTCATCGTAGGCAGATGTGCTGCAACAAGCACTGATGTTAACTTTTTGGCGATATATTATTACATTATATGTGAACCATTGGCTGATTGTTCGGTTATTTATCTTAAGACCAGAGATCTGATACCAGGTAGTGGTACTGGGCTGATATCAGCAGGACGCTGGACCGGATAACAGAAGGAAACAACAAATTAATTTGATCCAGTTCTGTAACAA